TCCAAGGGTGGTTTTCACTATCTGTAATGGTTTTTTTTTAGGCGGAGATAGAATTTACATGTTTTTACTATGTTCCATATGAATTTATTTTAAAATAAAAACATCTATATTGATTTCTGACACTTCTTCATCCAACTCACAGATGTAACCTTGCTTTGAGAAAAAAGATTATTAATTTCCCCCTTTTAGAAGTGAAGATATAGTCTTTGTTGTGTAAGTGGCATTTTCAAGCCTGAAAGCTGAAAAACAGGCTCAGGGCTTAACAGGTTAAGCATTACAAAGAGAAGACAAAATGGTAAATTAACACTAGAACCGCCAAGGGATTCATTTGTACTAACCCTGATACTGACGGGCTGTCAGGAGAGGGAGAGAGAGAGAGGAAAAGAGATGCCTCGTTTATTTCCCCTGTGTTATTATCAGAAGTTACTGTAAACTGTTGAATAATGTAGTTCATCTACTTTTAGTAGTTTGTTTAAATGTTTTAATTATGTTGTTTTTGTTTGTAGAAGTGCATCATTCCTTGATTTATTGTAAAATGAATCTGAACTTTTTTATCTGTTATGATGATAAACTGAAGCAATTTCTAAATTAACCCAATTAAGTGAGTTTTAAATCGTCCTACTTAGTTTATAAAGAAATGATGAAGAGGAACAAATTAAATGATTTGAAAATGATATCTATGTAGGTGCTGACGCTGTTGGCGGTTCTAGTGTTAACAGAAATTTAAATTAAATATGTGTAATGGCAAATGCCATATATGATTTTCTTACCTGGAATTCTGCCTTTTTGAATAGACTTTTTGATTGAGTCCTAGCTATATTGTCTGCAGTTCTAGGGTTAATATGAATCTAATATGATTGTCATCGGTCTAAATTAGATTTCAAATGATTAACTGTATGTAATGAAGATCATAGTGTGGGTTAAATCCATTTTCATAACCACTGTCTTTTAACTGATTTAAATGCGGAAACTGGGCTTATTCATCAGAATTTCGTATGACTTGACTTGACTTGACCTGAGCAATGACTTGACTTGACTTGCTTGACTCTCACCACAGTGACTTGGGACTTGCTTGATACTTGTAGGTCAAGACTTGAGACTTGCTCATGACTTGCACATGTAGGACTTACTCCCCACCTCTGCCTGTGTCGGAATATAGGTGTGAAGTGTTAGGCCCGCCACCTGTGAGGAATCTTCCTCCGAATTCATGCGGATAGGTATGGGTTTTTGAATATTATGGCGCGTTTCCACTACAGCGCGGAGCACGGTTTAAGAGGGCTGTGACGTCAGCGGCCCGTTTTTGGTTGCGTTTCCACTTGGCCTAGTACCGGCCGGCGGGTCCTAATTCACAGTTTTTCTGGCCTCATAAAATCGTGGGTCTAGGGCCAGAGACAACCGGGCTGAGTGTGTGACGTCAACACTCTCGGCTGCTGATTGGTCGGAGAGAATCGTCACAATCGGCGCGCGAGATAATCCATTTTTACAAACAGCATTTTTGTTAACAGAGGAGCTACAACAATGGCAAAGAAAAGCACACCATGGTCGGTCGAGGAAGTGACGACGTTCCTCCATTATATTGCAGATGATAAGGTCCAGCGGGTGCTCGACGGGACAACTCGCAATATCAAAGTCTTTCAGGAGGTCTACACAGACACTGGACTCTACAACGGCGGAGTCTGCATGGTAAGTTTTTGCTAACGCTCTGTTATTTGCTTGAAAGCTTTGTGCCCCTATCTGTTCTAAAGCTCACTTCTAACAAATAAGTCTATTTTATCCTTACATTTATGTTCGACAACCCATGCTTTTATGGAGCCCCGAAGGCTAGCTAGCTAGCTAAGGCAGATAGCAAACAATAGCTCTAGCTAATGCTAACACCATATGTGCCATTATTTACGTTCAGCTTGTCTTTTCTATAGTTGTTGTTGCTATTTATAGTATTGTGCTGCAGTAGTTTGTGGAATTTACAAGTCATGTTTCTGTTCTAGATGATTACATTGGGACTAGCGAGGAGGAACAGTTCCGAACAACGTCCTCTGCATCGACATCCTCCACATCAACAGCACAAACTGGTGCAATGCCATGCCTTTTTTATGCTGCTGCAAGAAAACACTTCCCAAATTGTGTTAAATAAAGTACTTCTTTGACTTATCTTATTGCTTGTTGATAAATAATTGCACCCAACAGCGACCACACAGAAAGATAGCATCATCTAGGCGTCCCTCTGCAGTCAGAAATATCATAAACACCATCATCGTCCACAAAGCACTGTACAGGGGTTTATGGATTAAGAGAATACTTATCACAGTGAAACCTTTATCATCTGTTGCAATTAAAGCAAATAAGAGAATAAATACTTGGTTAAATAATACATTTTAAGTCTTTAGCAGGACAACTCTGCATACTGTTTGAAATTGAGTTTGCTAGCTTGAGGTCCTCTAAAACATAACATTACATATTTTGTAATGGTATTAAGAATACATGATAAATAAATACATGTAGTAAAAATTACTCAATTGTAATACCCTCGTTGTGCTAGACTCAAACACATTGCTTATATATTTCAAAGAGAAGAGAACAAAAGAAAACACCTATACAAAGAGAGCGGTGCACAGCGCTTAATATTTACTTGCACTATATTTCTGTTTATCTGGGTTATTGTGTTGCACTGTTGGAGGAGCCTGTGACCTAAGATTTTCATTGTCATAACTACACTGTAGCTATGTTCGTATGACAAAATAAAAAACCTTGAACCTTGAGGCTGTGTCTTTCAGACAAACCATCATAATCATATTATTTTATGCTGTGGATACTTTAGCCTCCATCCATGTTAACAATTTTTTACACTTGCATTTATGAATATAGTTCTGCTGTGTTTTACACTTTTGTATTTATGTTTATAGTTTGCTTTGATATTTGCTTAATTTATTATTATTATGGGGCAGTAAGTACTGGTGCTTGAAATTCAAATATTTACTAAATAGTCAATTCTGATAACATTTTTTTGGTTTAAATAATTTGACAAACACATGTATGTGAAAAAAAAGAGATTTATTTATGTTCAATACAATACAATGAATATTTAGGTAATACATTATACATTCTAGGTATTCAGGTAGCGCATCAGACCCTCTCGTATGTCCCTGCCCTCCTCTGCACCTTGTGCCACTGCTACCCCTGGTAGACGTAGGTTTCCTCAGACATCCTGAAGTTCTCCACCCACTGAGTGTGTGTGAAAGATGGAACAATCACATTCCACCACTCGGTAGCTCGGTCGAGCATCCAAACACATGGTCTAAGGCGGCGACGTAACTTCTGAAATACACGCAACTTCTGAAATACACAAACAAAAGCATACATATTTTAATACGTAAAAGTGGTAGCTACAATTAATTAAATACTTGAAATACTTTGGGCGTATAGGGAGCGTGAGCCTAAACACATTGCTAGTTAGCAAACGTTAGCTTACCAAGTAGCATTGTAGTTGGTAGTAGTGATTTGAGTCGTCCTGTAGTCTCTGCGGCGTAGGACTGCCCGAACTCTCGCGTCAGCTTCTTCTATACCTCGTCTTGCTATAAGTCGCCTCTTTCGAAACAACTCTTGCCTATTTCTTGTGATAATAAACCACACGGCAAGAAACAAGCAAACGATCGCTTCCACATCTCCACATCCTCCATTGTTGTGTGTTGTGTCGCATTGAAGATGACGTCACGGCAGTTTTAAGCAGCGTCGCTCCGCCTACACTGCGTTACTATAGATACTACCCCAGTTCCTAAACTGTAATGGAAACGCGCCATAAAGTGAGCTGGTCCTAACGAGGCCAATGGTCACGAAGCTCTGTACTCTACTACCTCCCCCCCCCCCCCCTTGACAATCGCAAAGCACTGTACTCCCACTGACGTCCGCCCACCCCCCCCCCCCCCCCCCCCCCCCCCCCCGTTGTAAATCGCGAAGCGCTGTACTAGGTTAATTAGTTGGTCTGAGTAATTTGCCGGAATACATTATCAGCTCCTCGCGACTCTTACACCACAAACAGTACCACACGCACTCAGATGGCCATATCATCTATAATGGCTGATGTCAAACAAATGTTCAATAAGCTGTAAAACTAAAAAGAATGTCTTGAAAATATTACAAAATAAATAATAAGATAGTGTTTCAATCACTTTCAATCACAATCAATAAAAGCCGGGGTCCTCTACTATTGCATAAGGGTGCAGCATAGCCATTGAAAAACATATGCCAAAAGCTTCCGTTATTTATTTTGGTCTCTCGGCTCTCATGTCTATTGGCTTCTTAAAAACAGCGGGGATAAGCTGTTGAACTGCTGTTGTCTTTTGCCGGGCTCCGGTGATTGGCACATCTGGGTAATGCCTTCTGATATGATTTAGCATGTTTGGCTTGTGTTACCATTAACATACAGCACTGCTGTCGAACAACGCCGGCACACCGTCCTCTTCCGATCCACCACTCGCACAGTTATTGTATTCCACAGGGAACCCGAAATGTTCCCACACAGCTGATTTAAAAGAAGCAGGTGGGTCTTCTAGCTCCTGTGTGTTATCTGAAATCGCCATACTAACTTTTCTTCTTCTTGTATTTTGTTCGTTTTGTTGTGTTTTCTTCTTCTTCATTTTTTGTTCAAGGGCGGCTGGCAAACAGCTTTTAGGCGCAATACCGCCCCCTGGATTATATATAGTGTAGTGGATACTGCCTTGAATGACAGACTTTTTCCCCACTCGAAAAAAAAAAAGGCGTATACGTCGTGTGACTGCATGCACCGAACCGTGACGTCCGAACCGTGACGGTACGGGACGGATACCGTTACACCCCTAGTAATAAGTAATATATTACATTTTGGAAGTAACTTGCCCAACACTGGTAAGGAGACTCACAAAGTTTCAGAAAATACAGCCCTCTCTCTTTTCCTCCTTACCCACATCTAAAAAAAAAAAAAAAAAAATGGGGGTGCAAACGAGCAGATCCAGGATTTGGCTCCTATGATGTCATTGGTGAAATGTGGCACACGTGACACGTCCCAACCTATTGTCTCCGGCACACGTGACACGTCCCTGTTGTGGCTATTTAGCACTCACAACAGGAAAGAATGAGACAGAGAGGAATCAATAAAACACAGATATAGTTGATCAATTATTATTTCGTTGTACAACAAACAATAATAATGAGGAAACACTACCTTGCACACAAGCAGTCAAATGGTCTAGTAGCCCACAGACTAGAAAGATCTCGTGTGCTTTATACACATAAACCACACACGAACATACACTTGAACATACAGCTAACAAACGAACATCACAATGTTTTTCACTAATGCCATTACTTGGACATGTTCCAGATGTCGAAAGGTCATTATCTCATGACGTCTTTAGGAGTCTTGCAGGATATGAATTATCCAATTAACAAAGACTATACGTTTGCACATGACCACATACACAATTTTCCTTACATGAACTAACAAACTAACTGTATTATAATCTAATCAGCGTCTCTTTGTACTTGGCCCTACAATTTATTTGTTGTATTACCATTCTATAGGCGTAGTGTAGCTGTGAACAATCCCAAATACAATTTATTGTTTACATTGCAGCTAGTGCTAAACCAGAAGAAAAAACCCTTTTTCATTTTTAACTGGATGTGGAAAGGGGCTGGGCTACATAAGGTGAATTGAGCCAACCAAAATACACAATAGGTGGGACTAAGAAAGATAATATTAAAGTATAAAAACAAAGGCATTAATTAGGGCTGCAAAATATCTCCCATTTTAATGGTGATTAGATTTTTAAATGCTAACACTTAACCGTTTTTTCTGACTGTGTTTCCTGTTTCCTGCAGACATCCAGCAGCTGGTGGTGGTTAAAGAAGAGGTTCTCCCTGACCAGCAGGAGTGGAGCACCAGTGTGGACCAGGAGGACCCAGAGCCCCCCCCACACATTAAGCAGGAACAGGAAGAATTCAGGATCAGTCAGGAGGGAGAGCAGCTTCAGGAGCTGGAGGAGGCTGATATCAAGTCCACTTTCACTCCTGACCCTGTGAAGAGTGAAGATGATGAAGATAAACCTCAGTCCTCACAGCCTCATCAAAGACAAACTGAACACATGGAAACAGAAGCTGATGGAGATGACTGTCGAGGACCAGAACCAGCCAGGAACTCAGATCCAGAGAGCAGTTTACAACCACAGACTGAGGACGACACTGGAGACTCTTCTGAACCTGACACTGAAGACAGTGCTGATTGGAAGGAGACCAGAGAACCTGCATCAGGCTCAAACTCACTGAAAAATAGACATGAATCTGTCAGTGATCCACAACGTAGTGCTGAAAAGAAACCATTCAGCTGCTCGGTCTGTGAGAAAGCTTTTTCACGGAGTGGAAATTTAAAGAGACACATGATCATCCACACAGGAGAGAAACCCTTTAGCTGCTCAGTTTGTAAGAAAGCTTTTTCACAGAATATAGATTTAAAGACACACATGAGAGTCCACACAGGAGAGAAACCCTTTAGCTGCTCAGTCTGTACGAAAGCTTTTTCACAGAATATACATTTCAAGGCACACATGAGAATCCACACAGGAGAGAAACCCTTTAGCTGCTCAGTTTGTACAAAATATTTTGCAGTGAGTGCAAGTTTAACAAAACACATGAGAATTCACACAGGAGAGAAACCACACAGCTGCTCAGTCTGTAAGAAAGCTTTTTCACAGAGTGGAAGTTTAAAGGCACACATGAGAGTCCACACAGGAGAGAAATCACACAGCTGCTCAGTTTGTAAGAAAGCTTTTTCACAGAGTGGAAGTTTAAAGGACCACATGAGAGTCCACACAGGAGAGGAAATATACAGCTGCAATGTTTGCGACAAAAGATTTAAATGGCGTAATCCTTTCAATAGACACAAGTGTGTTGGTCGTCAGTCCTCACAGATTAATGAAATTCAAACTGAGGATAACAGAGAGGCAGAGCCTCCAATCAGCAGCTCAGCTGAACACATGGAAACAGAAGCTGATGGAGAGGACAATGAATAAGTCTTATGGCAGTTCACACATGAGAAAAATCTGTCTGACTGGATCAACATTGTTGCACAACATTCATATAAGACTTACATGAACTCCATCTTTATCAACATAAGTGGACAATATGTTTAAGGTTTTTGTCCTACTGATTTTCTGATTTATACGTTAACCACTGACTGTTGATGAACCATTTTATTGTGGATTGTGGGCTCCAAGTTTCCATATGGAGATATAGGATGATTTGATGTATTGTTCTTTATTTCTAAATGTTTTGTATCATTGCTATCCTGCTAATGAGCCCTGTTTTACATAAGTGTACCTGTTATCTGATTGTTTTTGCTTCTGTAACTGTAAGGGAACCCATTTGCCTATTTTGTATCCTGATGACCTAATGCCGTTACATGTAATACGTTACTCCCTAAGCCTGATTTCACCCACCTGCAACCGATTCGCTAATAATCACAAATGTTCATTTCTTTGACCCCTTGACTCGACAACTTTCTTGTTTAATAATCGTTACATCTCCTCAGGATCAAGTTCCTGTGTCCTGCCTTTCACCTGCTTATCACCCACTGCTCATTTAAGGTGGACTGACCTTTACAATGGACCAGCTAGTCTTAGTGTCTTAATGCAAACGTTTTGTAAAGTGATGCTAGACCAAAAACGTGCTGTTGGGTTGTGTGCTCTCTGCAGGACGGTGTCTGTACTCAAAGATTGTTTATGAAATGAGAGCTTCACTCTGTTTTTGTTGTCCAAACAACGCCAACAGAGTGATACGTCTTCTTTCCAGCAGGTGGCATAAATGTTACATCATCCAGTTCAACTGTCATCCACATATTAATGATTTAAAACAGCAATGTGTAAGATATGGCTAGTCATTTACTATTTCAACAGAATGTGAAGAGGTTACAGTCTTGAGGCCATGTCCAATATGTTTATGTTTTGTTTGATTAAGTCTACTGAAATTATTATTCAATGACTAAATTATTCTTAATTACTGTCCAAACATCATGGGTTTGCATTGCAATATTAAAACGCATAAAACCCAACTTTATTTCTTCTAAGTTGCGGGTGTCCGTTGTGTTTCATCCAAGCTTCCACTTCGTGCTCCGATAATGCTGAAAGTATCTGTTGTATGCTTTACCTGCTCCAGTAACAAAAGTGTAATTCACTAGACAGAGACAAGAGATAGTGGATGGATCCAGAAAAGAACCAGAAGATAGTCCGTAGCCTTCAGGTTCTGAAAATGATCAGCGATAGAGCTAGAAAGAAACCCCAAAAACCTGAATAGAGCTAGAAGATAGCCAGTAGAAAGCCAAGAAAGACCCAGTAGAAAGACAGGAAGGAGCCAAAAGAGTTTCTATTTTTTATTTTGTATCTTTTAATATTCAAGCTCTCCTCTTAATATATTAAAACCTCCTATCTCAACATGTATCCTTTTATTCCAATTAAAAAACCATACATTTTTGCTGCCAATTATTGAGATTGTTTCACAGCTTTTATCTTAAAAATATTTAGACTTTTTTTCTTTACATTACATAGGATGAACATCACGATCCACTGTGCTGGATTCTGCCCAAATCTGTTCCAAATGCATGCAAACATCTCGCTTTATCCATACTCCTGCAGTTGTATTGTTCTGGATTCATAGTGAAGTTTATTAGATGTTTTGCACTGTTATTGTTATGTATTTAATATAAAGTGAAATACCCATAAAGAAAGTCAGAAAATAAAAGAGACTCACTTAAGGAAAAAGGTTCTGAACCAGTGAGAGTTCTTCATTTGCACATAAACATGATAAAATAAATGTGTGACCAGATGGTGTCGCCCTCTCTACACATTTGACGCTTTGCATTTTATTGATTTATTTAGCCTCTTATACCACACTGCAAGTCTGACATTTATTAATGAGACGACTGGAAGTTAAACTGCAGATTTAAACACTTATAAACACATTTTTGGTCATAATCCAGGCTCTATGTTCACATAGAGAAGGATATTACAGTGTTTTGGGGCCTATGTCGGTTTAAAGCCAGCGAAAGGGTGTATTAGTCTGGGAAATAACTCATAAAGTTGTAAATTAACAAGAAAGAAACTGATACCTTAAAAAAAAGAAGTGTTTGGAGCTTGTTCTCCCCCAGCTCTCCTACGTGATGTCCGGCTGGCGTTACTTCGTCTGCCCGGTCGAGTTCGACAACGACTACAACCGGTTCCAGGTGGACTGCGAGCCGTCAGAGCTTTTCCAGCTGCAGGACTACGCCCTGCCCTCCGTCCTGTAATGATGATTCACAGATTAGTGAGTAGATTAATGTTTTTTCTCATTCTGCGGTGGAATGCTAGAAGCCTTATTGCAAATGGACAATAATTCAAGACCTATATATATCAGTTAAAAGAAAAACCAGACGTTATTTGTATTCTAGAAACATGGCTGAAGACTAATTTGGACTTCATTATTGGGGGATATAGTGCTATAAGGCAAGATAGAAATGATGGTCAGGGAGGGGGATGTGCAATCTTTATCAGAGAAGTAATGTGGAATGAAGTAAGAAAAAATACTTGAAGAAAGAAGATAGACATGTCAAGTGACAGTCTCAGTGAATCTGATTTGCAGAATGAATTGAAGAAAGTAAAGAAAAGGATTGAGAATGAAGAGTGGAAAGTGATTGTGGAGTTTGGTGAGCAATCCGCAGCTAAGCTACATCCAGTGGCCCTGACTAAAGCAATTCACAAAGAAATTGGAGCAAGATTTCTGAGCAAAGGACGGATGTTGGTAGAATGATAAATGCAAAACAACAGGAAAAGTTACTGAAAATGAAGACCTTGAATGAAGTTCGAATTAAATGCCATGTTCCTGGAGCAAATCGGAAAATACTTGGAGTTATCAGTGGACTTCCGATAGAAATCAGCATGGAAGAACTCAAGAAAGAAATTAAAGGGGGAAAAGTGTCTGTAGTTAAGCGTCTTCCTACTAGGTATCAGGGTAAGATAGTGGATAGTTTGTCTGTTCTTCAGTTTGAAGAAACAATTCAACAGAAGATAATGATAGGTTGCATGAGCTTTCCAGTAAGAGAATTCATCTCTAAACCTCTGCGGTGCTTTAAATGCCAATGGTTTGGGCATGTGGCAGACAAGTGCAAAGCAACTAAGTCCAGGGGCCTCATTCATAACGCCTTGCGTAGGATTGACGTAGGAAGGTTGCTTACGTAGTACAAAGCACAAAAATAGGTACATACATTTTCCGCCATTTTCCGATTCACAAAACATTGCGTACCGGCGAGGGAAGTGCGTACGGCACTCCCTACGCCTGTTTCCCTTTATAAATCACAATCGACTCGTAACGCCCATATTTGCCTATACATAGTCAAAGAAACGCCCATTCATTCATTCATTTTGACTGACTGCATGAAGAAGATCGCAGGAAATGACGATAGAACAGCTAAAAAAGACATCTCACACCGTGTCAGATTTAGGTTATTGTGGGGGGGTCGAGATAAATCATATTGTCATCATATACGTATACACGTGATGCGCCGGTGAAGATGGCCGCATCGTCTTTGTGCTCCTCTCCAACTTTGCCCATTTTCGTATTTTGTACATATTTCTTTTACTTTTGCCGTTTTACTTTTAACATGGTTCGCAACATGCTAGCCGACCGCACCTACTCTGCCATACAATATAGCAGAGAGGAACTTTTCCAATTGCGAAACTTCGTGGACAATATTAACCCTCCGACAGACAATGGAGATTCACCATGGCTACCTGTTGCTGTTCTACCTGAGAGACGCAAGAAGAAGACAAAGCGGGGATGCCGGGCCGGGTTGCTGGTCAGACTGAGAAAACGTGAGAATCGGCCCCCTCTTCCGAGTATTCTTCTGGCTAATGTTCAATCCATTGAAAATAAGCTAGATGAACTCAGAAGCCGGATTGCTTTTCAACGGGACATTAAGAACTGTAACGTGTTAATTCTCACTGAGACTTGGCTCAACCCCGCTATCCCGGACTCCGCTATTGTCCCTGACGGATTCTCTATTTTTCGTCAGGACCGGACTGCAAACTCGGGGAAAAGTAAGGGAGGCGGTGTGTGTGTAATGACTAACAACAACTGGTGCTCAGATGTGAAGATTATTTCATCGGACTGTTCCGCACAGCTAGAGCACCTCATGATCTCATGTCGGGCCTTCCATCTGCCGAGGGAATTCACATCTGTTGTGATAACAGCAGTGTATATCCCGCCGCAGCCACTCGCCGACAACAACACGGCACTCGATCAGCTGTTTGGGTTTATTGATAAAACCGAGACTTCACGGCCAGATGCGGCGTTCGTTGTGGCCGGAGATTTCAACACCGCCAACATGAAGAAGGTTTTGCCAAAATATTACCAACACATCAACTTCCCGACGCGCGGGGGAAACATACTGGACCATGTTTATTCCCCTTTCCGGAATGGATATAAGGCTCTCCCTCGCCCTCCCTTCGGCAAATCAGACCATATCTCACTACTGTTGTTGCCTGCTTACAAGCAGAAACTTAAAAGGGACAGACCGATAACAAGGACAGTACAACGATGGAGCGAGGAGTCAGATTCAGCACTGCAGGATTGCTTTGCATCTACGGATTGGAGTGTGTTTGAGGACAATAACATCAACACACACACGGACACTGTCATCTGCTACATTGGGAAATGCATCGATGACGTGGTACCGAAGGTTTCTGTACGGACATTCCCAAATCAAAAGCCCTGGGTAAACGGTGAGGTGCGCGGCAAACTGAAAGCGCGCACTCTCGCGCACACAGCGGGA